CCCATTGTGGCAGTGATGGTTTTAGCTGGGGGATGTGGAGGGAGTCAGTGGGGTTTCTTGGTGTGTGCCCCCCCCATACATTTCAATGGGGTGATTTTGGGGGGGCTGTGTGAGGTGCCCGGTTATTGTGCGGGGTCATTGTGCACCAATGGCCGGGGCTTGGCCATCCATCTCCTTTGGGGCAGAGCCTCTTGCCTTCTCCGGGAGGAGGAAGGATGCGTCCCTCCATCACCTCCGTGGCTGGAGCCTGCTCATGCTCCAGGCTCGGGCCCAGCTCTGCGGTCTGTAACCCAGCCAGGGATGGATGGGATCCTGCTAGGAAAAGGGGAGCAGAAAGATATGCATCTGTCCTCCCCGGCTCACTGAGATGACAGCAGGCTGGGAGGGACAGAGATGCACATCTGCTTGTCCTCCCTTTGCTGAGTGTGCTGGTTTGGCGTTGGTTTGGCTTGGAGACAAGATTTTAAGAGAGTGTATGACCACAGCTGATGTTTTATTCACTGTCAGCCCACCCTCTCTCCTGGGGCAGGTGATGGAGAAGCCATCAGGGCTGTGCTGGATCCCCTTGAGTTTCATGCCTAAGGCAATGACACCTTGGTGGGCTGCAGCCCTGCATGCAGTGGGTCGGGGCCCCATGGTCAGGAGCCAGCCACAGTCTTCACCCCAGGTCTGCCTGAGGAGGGCTGGGCAGTGGGTTCAGCTTCAGAAGCCCTGTCCCTGGGAGGACCGCCAGAGCTCCTCCATGGCACCGCAGTTTGCTTGGCTGTTGGCCTGGGTGGACGGGATGGAGGGTTGGTGCTTCCAAACCCGACTGAGATGAAAGTCCTTGAGGATGGTTTGGTCCAGATTTGTCCCCTCATTAAAAAGGCCTCTGCATTACAGAGCCCAGGGTGTAATTTGGGTACCGCCCACATCACTGCAGTGCCTGAACACACCAGCCGGTCCTCCCTGCTGTTTTACGACTGGGGAAACTGAGGCATGGACAGGCTGGAGCTGAGCACAGACCCTGCACCCAGCCCTGGGCTGTCCTGGGGTGTCTGCGGCACTGACATGGTGTCCCAGGACAAATCACTCTTCTGTGCCTGGACATGTGGTGGGGACACAGCTTCCCAGGGGGACCCTGAGCAAGGGGGTCTTCCCAGGAGGAGCAGCCGGGTTTTACTCAAAGCTAGAGCTTCGAAAAAGCCTGGGTGTGCTCTGAGAGGTTGCTGGGCTCTGAGAGCAAAGGAAGAATTTGGGGACCTCAGAGAGGCAGGTGCAAGGCTGGGATTCCCCAGGGGTAAGCCTTGGGGCTGTCCCGGGTGATTTGGGCTGTGATGCTGCCTGCCTGGGGCTGCAGCTGGAGACCCCAGGGCCACCCATGAGCGGGGCTGAGCAAAGCATCCCTGATGGTGCCCGGGCGCTTTGGTGGTGAGTCAGCACCCAACCTCCAGGCTGCCGAAACCAGGAGGAGACGAGATTGTATCAGCCTGATGGGGGGCTGGCGTGATCAAAGGGCCGGGAGCAGAGCTCAGGCTCCACACAATGGGGGGACACGATAGCCCTTATCTGCTGGCCCCGCCGAGGTGCGAAGGGCCCGGCCCTGGGGGCAAGGGGTGATGGGGGCGGGTGGGCGCTGGGGGCTGCAGGGCTGGGTGTGGGCAGGCACCCAGGGGCTCCCACCCAATCCTTTGCTGGGGAAACCTCTCCTGGCAAACACTAAGAAGCAAGAAAATAAACTCTGGTTCTTGCTGGGTCTGGGAAGACCCTTGGGAAGGATTTGGAGGCTACTCCAGCTGCAGGAGCAGGACGGCTCCTCTCGCTATTCCCCGGGGAAGGTTTTGGGATGGGGGACCCGCAGCATCCTCCCTCCCTGTCCCCCAGTCCCACCCAGCTCCCAAGAGGAGCAGGCCGAGCCGAGGGCCCCTCAGCGGGGAGCCTGGCCCCACACCACACACTCGCATGGGTCTCAAACATGGTCGTTTAATAAAATCTCCTTTTAAAAGAACTACAATCCATACAACAACGAGGGGCGCGGGGAGAAGGGCAGCAGCCCACAGGTAAGGGAGCAGGGTGCAGGGAAAGGATCTGTGCAGTGATGGCCTCTGCCAGTGGCCCCGCCGGGGATGTTCCCACACCACCACCGCTCACCGGCACAGGGCCCTGCTGCTGCTGCCTGCCCTGCCCGTGCCTGCCTGCACGTGCAATGGCTCCTGTGTGTGCCACAGCTCCCGTGCGTGCAACAGCTCCCGTGCGTGCAAGAGGCCACCCGTGCGCAAGAGGTCACCCCCGTTCAAGACACCACCTGAATGCAACAGGTCACCCGTGGCTGTGACAGTCCATGCCAGGGTCTGGACATGAAGCCATATCTGTGAAAAGCAACCCAAAACTCGTCCTGGGCCTTACGCTGAAGGGGTCACGGCCAATGCACCAGAGAGGCTTTGGGGAACAGCGCTGGGCTCTGAGCAAGGACTTGTCGGTGGGGGCTGGTGAGCCCGGACGCAGACACGGGCAGTGGAGGGGTGCAGGGGGTCTCTGGAGCCTGGGAGGTGCCCAGGATGGAACGGCAGAGACTGTCCCCTGCCACGGAGGGATGCCCGGAGAGAGTGCCAGGCCGGGCTCTGCAGGAATGCTGCAAAGGGCATGGGCTCCGTGGGGCAGAGAAGTAGCGCAGCAAAGTCACCGTGCCTTGGCTACTCCTCTCGGCCTCCCAAGCCCCCACAAGTCTCGCTCCTTCCTCCCCCATGGCCACACAGAGAGCCCAGCCAGCACCCAGGGCTGCCGTGATGAAATCCTCCACCTCCACTGGCAGAGCCCAGCACAGGGTCCCAGAACACAGCGGCACTGGGACTGCCTGCACCCCAGGGCCTCTGAGGACCAGCACCCCTAGGAGGGGATGGAGCCGGTCCAGGGGTCACGGCAGAGCCTCTGCTCTCGGCCGGGCACCGCACAGGGCGGCATCCGAAAGTGCATCCCAGGGAGCGATGCCAGCGCCTGCCCAAGCCTGCTCTTGCTCCTGCTCTTGGCTCCCGGAGCGGGACCCTGCTGCCAGGGGCTGCCTGGGCTGGGGAGGAGTGCACAGACCAGGCACCAGAGCCTTTAGCGATGCCACCCACTCCAGGGAAAGTCTCCATCCCTGGCAGATGGGTTCTGGGCAGGCTGGCAGCCCTGATGCCTTCCCCTGCAGACATGAGCGTGCCCAGACCCCCCTGACCCCTCTCCCGCTCTTTGACCCCCTCTCCAGCCCTTTCCCAGCTGCTGTTGCATCAGCCCAGCCGCAGTCAGGGCAGCGGCCCCCTTGTCAAAGCCAAATGCAAAGAGGCAGTGCTGCAGCCCCCCCAGTTTCTGTGCCAAGGCAGCGGCTGCACCCCCCCGCGGGGCTGGCGTGTCCCCGAGAGCAGTGAGTGAAGGGCAAGGCAGGGACGCGATCACAGCAGCAAAGAGGACAAGGACGCTGGAAACGGGGGCGATCCCCCCCTCCCATAGCTGTTAGTGGGTGTTTATTGGGCAGGCGTCGAACAGTCTGGCAGAGCGGGGTCCGCACCCCTTCGCCCCGCTGCGGGAGCCCCTCCGGCGCGGCCGCCTCGCCGGGCTTCGGCGTTGGGCATACAGTCCGTAGCGAGCTTGGGCAGAGGAGAGGAGGGGTGTTACTGGTGCGACTTGGGATTGGAGGGGTGTAAGGAGGAGTCGTCAAACAGCGGGTTCCTCACTTCCATTTCTCCAGTCTGCGGTGGTGGAGGGAGCGGGATGGGGGGAAGGAAAAGGCAGGAGGTCAGAAACCAGCTGGGGGTTGAGTCGCCCTGTCCCAGGGGGTTTGAGTCTGAACCCCAGCCCAGCAGCAAGGAGGGAGGATGGGGGGGGACCTCGTGGGCTGGGCTGGGGTGACACACACCAGGACCCCACCGTCACCCCTGGAAAGGCACTGCCTCCCCACCAGGAGCGGCCAGGGATGCTGGGATAGGGTGATGGTGTGTAAAACCCATGGTCTCAGATGGGATGGGACCCCACAGCCTGGCTGGGGACTCCAGGACAGGACCCCCAGCCTGGCTGGCCGGTAATGGGGTTCCTTGCCCAGACTGCCTGCCTGCCATCAAGTGCCCTTTAATGGGCCTGTAAAGACCTAATGATGACCCTTAATCTGGGCCCTGATGGCCGGGCTCTGCAGCCATTACCATGTGAAAGGCTCCTTTCGGGTCTCTTTGTGCTCTTTGTACCCAGGGCTGTTAGGAGCTGCCCATCCCCGGGCTCCCCCGCCAGCCAGAAAAGTCCCCCCTGGCTTTGAGGGGTCACAGGTCCCCGGTCCAGGTGCTGGGGAGGCACCAGGACGAGCTCCCCGGTCCCAGTGCCCAAGAGCCCGAGGTGGCCACGTCCCTGGCACTGCAGGGACGGCAGGTTGGGTCTGCCAAGGGCTGCTCCAGCTCTCCACTCCCGGGGCCACGGGGCAGCACTCCCCAGGGAATGGCCCCGTGCCGGGGCACCCATACCAGCGCACCCGCTCCTGCCCACTGGCCCAGTGGGACCTGGCCAAGGCACACGGGGGAAGCAGAGGGGTTGGACCATCTCAGGGTTTGATGAAGGATGTGTTTAAAAGGCTCCTCGCAAGGAACTGCACATCCCAGGCATGTGTTGGATCCCACTCTGCATGCACAGGGTCGTCCCCCCCCTCGGCCACCCCGCGCCCGCCGTACCGGAGCCAGCCCGGGGCACTCGTACACGGTGAAGTCTCCATCCTCATTCTCCTCGTCGGACGACGCTGAGTCCGGCAGCTTGGGCTCCTCTTTATGCCTGCGGGGAGAGGATGCAGAGAGGGGGTGAAGCCCAGCATGGGGATGATTAACAGCACCCCAGTTAATGGCAGGGCATGGACCAGCAACCAGGTCTGCTGTCTGTTCCCAGGGCAGCTTACTTCTCCATGGAGAGCATCTGCTGCTTTTGGTGCTGGTAGTGGTACATCTGGGCACTCTGAGCCAGCGTCTTGTCCCCGGGCTGCAGAGAGAGCAAGGACAGGCATGGAGGCCGGGCTCTGGAGAGCCCCCAGCCCAGCTGGCAGGTGTCCCCCGCCGTGTTGGAAGCCCCTCAAGCAGAGCATACGCCTGGCCCCAGCACCAAACACCCTGCAAGGAGGGACATGGGCGCCTTACCGAGATCTTGTCGTAGGGCAGGGGGCTGGCCGCTCGCTGTGCTGAGTAGTCCGCTTTCTGTGCCAGCCTGACCTCCTTCTGCAGCCTGCCAGGGGAGAGGAGAGTGATTGGCAGGAGCCACCGGAGTGCATGACTCCATACGGGAGCCAGTAACCCCTGGGGGGGCTCAGCCCTCCCACCCACATCCCTGTTCCCTGCGATCGCACCCACGACGGGTGGCACCCCCAGGCACAGCCACCTTCATCCCGCAGAGCCTGGGCACGAGGCACCGATGTGCTGGGGGTTTCAGCACCCAGTGCCACAGTGATGCCCAAACCAGGTGCCACCCGCTCCCAGGAGCCTGTGCCTGGCACGGGGGTGTCCCACCGCTGTCCTCCAGCCCCGACTGGCAGACGCTGTACGTGCAGGGGGACTGGCAAGGACAGCTATTGCCTCTCCTCCAACCCCCCCCCACACCTGGGAAGCACAGGAACAAGCTCCCCTGGGCACAAGGACACTGAGGGACTGGCTGGCACCAGCAGCCCCTGGCTCACCTGCACCAGCAGACCGCAGCCACGATCAGTGCCGAGATCCCGGCCACTGTGCACACCACGATCAGCCCTGCAGAGGTGGAGGGGGACACAGAGGGACAGTGGGTGAGCCCAGTGCCACAGCCCATACTTCCCCGGCCAGGATGTGAAACCCCCTCCCACGAGCTGCCTGTCCCCGGGGTCTCACCGAGCACCATGTCGTCATTTGAAGGGATGGGGGACGCTTCCACTGGGTACTTCTGGACCGCGGCAGTGGTGGAGGTGGGGGGGGTGGCGGCTGCCTTGCTGCCGGCAGAACCCCGCTGCAGAAGCCCCTCTCTCAGCCCACTGGCCACACGTTGTCTGCCGCCGGCAGGGACCGAGGTGGCTATGGGAGAAGGCAGAGCCATGAGCAGAGCAGTGCCCGGGCAGTTCTGGAGGGCAAACCAGCCTGGGGTGCAGGGTCTGGCTGCCGCGGGGTCCCTGGCACTGCTGCAGAGAGCAGTGGGAGTGGGGGAGCAGGCACTTACTCCTGGGCTTGCCATCCCGCAGCGGGTGGGGACGAGGAGCCTCTTGCCTGGCCAGCACGTCCGCCAGAAAATCGATTTCTTCCTCCAAGCTGGGAACGGACGTCCGCCCTGCGCCGGGAGAGAGCGAGCGTGAGACGGGCACCCCGGGGTGCGGCCACATGTCCAGCTCCAGGGCCAGACCCAGCATCCCCCCGAGAAGGGGCTCACGTCCCAGCATGAGCAAATGCGAGTGGTTTGGAGTCCAAGCCCACTCAGATGCGGCCCTCTGGCACACCAGCGGTCCCAAAGCCAAGACCTGGGATTTGCACGTCCTCACCGCTTTTGGGATGCTTTTCACCCCACAAATGTTGGAGGCTGCAGGAGCAACAGTGGCCACAGCTGCCCCCGTGTCGGAGTCAGTAGGTCCCGCAGAGCCCTGTAGGAGCCGGCAGGCTGCCAGTACCTGCTGCTCAGGACCTGCCCTGTGTCCCTGCACCTGGGCCATACAATGGCCCTGAGCGAGAAGGGACATGAGCTGGACCAGGAGAGACACCCCACAGCTGCCCCGCTGCTGCAGAGTGTGAGGGACAGCTCTGGCAGGGCAAATCGCAGACCCGCTGTGGGCAGCGGGGCCATTTCAAGAGCAGGCAGGGACACCTGAATGCTGGTTTTCACCCCAAATTGTCCTGTACGGCCCAGGCGCCTGGAGCCACCCCAGAGCAGGGCTCGTCTGGGGCTATCCAGGAGCTGGTGGGAACCCTTGCTTCAGATGAGGGGCCGGCTTCTGCCCAGCGCCTGGCAGGATGCGGCCTCTTTGGGGAGGGGGTCGGGGTGCCCCATGCAGTGAGGCCCATCATGTATCCCCAGGGGCTGGGTGGCTGCCCCAGCCCATGCCCTAGCATGGTGCATGCTGGGGACCCACAAAAGGCTGGGTGCCCCTGCAGCGTGGGGCATGGGCAGGACCCCACCCCAGCCTGGGGGTGCCCACCCACGGGGTGACAGTGTGGAGCAGGAGTGGACCTGCTGTCCTCAGGCTCGCCGAGCAGAGTCAAGCTCTGACGCTCACCACTCTGCTTTTAACAGGATTAAACTCAACTTCAAAGGCAGGAGACGTCCCCGTCCCCATCCCTGCTCCCTCTGCCCCGGCACTGCTGTATTCAGGCTGGTCCCAGCGGGAAGCCCTGGAGGGTAAATCAAGACATACAAAGGCGAGGTGGTACCGGCAGCTCAGTTCCTGGATAATTCAAGGTTGTAACAATTACAGCTCCTCTGGAATCTGTCCTCGCTCCCAGTGTTTGGAAATAAACCCCGATTCCCTCCAGAGCCGGGCACAAAGGCCACTCAGTCACCCCGTGACTCAGAGCCACACAAGCCAAAAACTAGTTCAAAAAAGGGACACTCTTGCTTTAAAACAAGTGCATGAAGAGCCACTGTCCCTATGTCCCCTGTGTCCTCTGTCTCCCCGAACCACCCCCCAGCCTCCCATCCTTGGCAGGAGCCAGAGCACCGCACAAGCCCTGGGTTTCCCCGGCTCTTTGCACCATGTTATTTCCACCCCCAAAGCGATTTGCAAAGCAGTGCCACGGCCATGCGGTGCCAGGTTTGGGGCTGTGCCACCAGCGCCGTGCCCGACGGGTGAGTGCCGTGGTGCCAAGGTGCCAGCACGGGGCCAGGCTCTCCCGATGGGCAGGGGAGCTGGCATGGGACTGAGTGTGACAGCCCCGTGCCCTGTGGGGACAGCCCCGTGCCCAGGAGGGGACATCCTGGTGCCTCATGGGGACAGTCCTGCGCCCAGGATGGGGACATCCTGGTGCCCGGGATGGGGACAGCCTGGCTCTAGCTCCCCACTGTGCTCAGGGAAAGGCCTGTCCCCATTCCCATGGGACCCAGGGGACAGCCCTGCCCATGCCCATGTTTGTCACCATCAGGCCTGGGGGAATCAGGCTGTGTTGGTGCTGCCATCAACGGGGCGCATGGCCCAGCCCTGCCCCAGCATCCCTTGGCCTTGGGCAGACGCAGCTACAACAACCAACGCTTCAGGACGATGAATGTGATGTGGTTGGAAAAGGAAAAAAAAAAAGCTGGAAAACCAGCAAGAGCAGCTCCCAGGTCACTCTGAGCCTCCCACCATGCGAAGCGGCAGAAGGAAAACCAAGGCAGCTTGTGCCATTTGTGTTTTCCGGCATTGCCGGCAGTGCCTAGGCCGTGCCACTCACCTGCATTAACCAGCTTTATCGCCAAGTTCCCTTTCAGTGGCTAAAAATCCCCACACCCCTGTTTTGTTTGGCAGCTGAGATTTCCCCCGGTGATGCCACGTCTGTCACCCCACAACATTTGTGGGGCAGAAGCAGCCTGGCACCGACGGCCAGTTCCTGCCGGCACCGCGGGCAGGTGAAAAGCTGCAGCGAAACACCGGTCCAGGGCTGCTCCCCAGGGAACAGGGGGCCGTGGCTGACCCCCGATTCCTGCCCAGCTGCCCCAGGCCCTGGCTCTTGCTGCAAAAGGAGCAGAGATGGGGGTGCTCCCAGAGGCCCCCCGAGCCCCGCTGCAGCGAGCTGGGCATGCTGAGCAGGCACAGGGTGCACGCAAGGTATGCACAGGGCATGGAGGGTGCACGCAGGGTATGCACAAGGCATGCACAGGGCACGAAGGGAGCACGCAGGGTGCACACAGGGCTTGCAGAGGGCACGGGTGCCCTCTCATGGTAGGTCCCACCACCTGCCTGCAGCAGGGAGGGCACGGCCAGGCTGGCACACAGCATCCCAGCCCAGCCGCTCTCCCTGCCCGGCCCCTCCTTGGGGCTTTCCTCTCCCCAGGGTCTCCAGGGCTCAACCCTGGGATGCACACAGGGGTCTCGCCAGTTACCATGACAGGTTTGGGGACAGCAGGGAGCAAGAAGGGACATGTGTGGCTTCTGGCCCAGGCAAAGGAAACCTGAAGTTGACAGTCTCCACAGGAGGGCACAAAATTCCTACAAATCCACTTATTTCTACAATCCTGCCCCAGGCTGGCTGATGCCTTCCTGGTTGCTGACAACACAGCAAGCAGGGAGGGCGGAACCCCCAGGTCCAGAAGCTGGGACCCCCTTTTCCCCGTCTTCCCAAAGTGCTTCCCGCAGCCCGGTGGGGCTCAGCCCTGGCTCCGTGCTGGCGGAGTCAAGCGGGAGCAGGGACAGGACCCACCAGCCCAAATCACATCATGCAAACCCATCGCGGCACGTTCAAATGGCACGCAGCACTGTGGTGCTGGCAGCGTTTTGGGGGCTCAGACCCCTGTGCAGGCAGCGCCAGCAAGGTGCAGGCAGCGCCAGCAAGGTGCAGGCAGCGCCAGCAAGGTGCAGGCAGCGCCAGCAAGGTGCAGGCAGCGCCAGCAAGGTGCAGGCAGCGCCAGCAAGGTGCAGGCAGCGCCAGCAAGGTGCAGGCAGCGCCAGCAAGGTGCAGGCAGCGCCAGCAAGGTGCAGGCAGCGCCAGCAAGGTGCAGGCAGCGCCAGCAAGGTGCAGGCAGTGCCAGCAAGGTGCAGGCAGCCAGCTGTCCGCCCAGCCAAAGTGGCTGCGGGATGCACCATGTCATGAGGTCCCGCACATCCCATCTCACCTCTGTGCTGGTGCTGCGCTGGGTACGCCGAGACACCCACGCACGCCGTCACCAATGGCAGGAACACACCACTCACGTGCATCGCCCTCCTGAGACCCCAAAACGCTGCTTTTCACCCCAAAAAGCTGCTCTCGGCGCCTG